CTGTTTGTCCAGATCTGATGGACGGTTATCCGGCTCAAAGCGAAGAGCCTTTTAGTGGACTTGAGAAACAATAAAACAAATCACACACCATCGTGACAAACTAACACAGTGTTGAGGCAGTCATCCGGGAGCCTGTACAGAGGGAAGAAATCACACGAGGATGAAGACGAGGGATCCGACTGAGCTTCAGACTCCGGCTGAGGAAACGTTACGTTATGCATTATGACAATTCTGATTCAACTCATACAGCAAAAAATAAATAATGATAATAATCAGTGTTTTGCCTAGCTTACAAGTATGACATATATGCTTAAACAACCATTAACAAAACCAAATATCATAAAATATGACATGATATACATAATTGCACTGGTTCTGAATAAAAATCGCTTATTAATTATTAGGGCTGTCAGTTAAACGCGTTATTAACGGCGTTAACGCAAACCCATTTTAACGCGATTAATTTTTTTATCGCGAGATTAACGGTCTTTTTGGCCTAGCAAACTTTGTCGTTTTTTTCACATGCTTTTGCAACAGGGCACGGCATGCGCGGCGCTGCGCTGCGCTATGAAACCGTATGACACCCATTCATTTCAATGGCTTGCGCCGTGCGAGGACGTTTTGTTGCTTCGTCGACCAAAGCGCAAATGGATCCAGCTAGACCGGACACAAAACAACAGGCACGCGCACACACTTGTTTGGGTCTGCGAGCCGGCCAAATAGTTGGTTAACGTTACGTTTTGAGTGGATGACGAGCGCGAGACGCCGAAATGGATGCCAATAGATTCTGAATGGAAAGTTTAACTTTTAAAAAGTTGCCAAATGGTTCCATTGACTACACCAAAGTGATCTGTGTGTTTTGTCGTTATGAACTGAGCTATCATCATCGCAGCACGTCCAGTCTGAAACACCATGTGATAATGGCCAAGCAAGCACCATAGCCAAGCACACACACACACACACACACACACACACACACACACAGCTGATGCGAATGCTCCGCCTCCTCGTCAATATCAGTACCTCGTCAGTATTTCTTTCACCCTTTTATTGATGGACAGTGTTACATTGTGTTACAAAGAAATGATTTGCTCCAAGTGAGAATGTTAGTGTGAAATTGAACACAGTATTGCCAATGTTGTTTTCAATAAAAAAAATGTGCAAAAAGCAAGGAATCCACTTTTTTCATGTTGATAAGAGCATTAAAATGAGAAAAAATAATGAACAAAAAGAAATCAAGAGACTTGATTTCAAAATGTGCGATTAATCGCAAATTAACTATGACATTAATGCGATTAATCGCGATTAAATATTTTAATCGTTTGACAGCACTATTAATTATTGATCAGTCAACCACATACGCCTTTAAAGCATGAATACTGAGAGAGTCCAGTTATTAAAACTTGTGATTGTGTAAGTTTATAGTTGCTGTGTATATTACTGAAGATGATGATGAGGATGATCGAATTAATGCGAGATGTTTTGCTATAAATCACAGACATGCATCTGAGGAATATTTCTCATTTTTCTCAGTTATTTTGCTTAATTTCCAGATTCACTCATAGTCTCGTTCTCACGCACTAGAGCTCGTTCACACATGCGCACTCTTCAGAAACGACACTTTAAATCTCTTGACAAACTAAAAGTCGTAAATGACATTTGTATGTATTCTGAATTAAAGACACAGGTTGCACTGAATGTCAGTTTGCTTATTTTGCTCAAGATCAGGATTTATTGAGTCCACATGTCAGGTAAACTAGAGACTCTGCTTCTAACCACAGGTCGAGATCTGTCGCTCACACACACTCCTCTGCGATGCTGTCGCTCACACACACTCCTCTGCGATGCTGTCGCTCACACACACTCCTCTGCGATGCTGTCGCTCACACACACTCCTCTGCGATGCTGTCGCTCACACACACTCCTCTGCGATGCTGTCGCTCACACACACTCCTCTGCGATGCTGTCGCTCACACACACTACTCTGCGATGCTGTCGCTCACACACACTCCTCTGCGATGCTGTCGCTCACACACACACCTCTGCGATGCTGTCGCTCACACACACTCCTCTGCGATGCTGTCGCTCACACACACTCCTCTGCGATGCTGTCGCTCACACACACTCCTCTGCGATGCTGACGCTCACACACACTCCTCTGCGATGCTGTCGCTCACACACGCTCCTCTGCGATGCTGTCGCTCACACACACACCTCTGCGATGCTGTCGCTCACACACACTCCTCTGCGATGCTGTCGCTCACACACACACCTCTGCGATGCTGTCGCTCACACACACTCCTCTGCGATGCTGTCGCTCACACACACACCTCTGCGATGCTGTCGCTCACACACACTCCTCCGCGATGCTGTCGCTCACACACACTCCTCTGTGATGCTGTCGCTCACACACACTCCTCTGCGATGCTGTCGCTCACACACACTCCTCTGCGATGCTGTCGCTCACACACACTCCTCTGCGATGCTGTCGCTCACACACACACCTCTGCGATGCTGTCGCTCACACACACACCTCTGCGATGCTGTCGCTCACACACACTCCTCTGCGATGCTGTCGCTCACACACACTCCTCTGCGATGCTGTCGCTCACACACACTCCTCTGCGATGCTGTCGCTCACACACACACCTCTGCGATGCTGTCGCTCACACACACTCCTCTGCGATGCTGTCGCTCACACACACTCCTCTGCGATGCTGTCGCTCACACACACTCCTCTGCGATGCTGTCGCTCACACACACTCCTCTGCGATGCTGTCGCTCACACACACTCCTCTGCGATGCTGTCGCTCACACACACACCTCTGCGATGCTGTCGCTCACACACACACCTCTGCGATGCTGTCGCTCACACACACTCCTCTGCGATGCTGTCGCTCACACACACTCCTCTGCGATGCTGTCGCTCACACACACTCCTCTGCGATGCTGTCGCTCACACACACTCCTCTGCGATGCTGTCGCTCACACACACACCTCTGCGATGCTGTCGCTCACACACACTCCTCTGCGATGCTGTCGCTCACACACACTCCTCTGCGATGCTGTCGCTCACACACACTCCTCTGCGATGCTGTCGCTCACACACACTCCTCTGCGATGCTGTCGCTCACACACACTCCTCTGCGATGCTGTCGCTCACACACACTCCTCTGCGATGCTGTCGCTCACACACACTCCTCTGCCATGCTGTCGCTCACACACACTCCTCTGCGATGCTGTCGCTCACACACACAACTCTGCGATGCTGTCGCTCACACACACTCCTCTGCGATGCTGTCGCTCACACACACTCCTCTGCGATGCTGTCGCTCACACACACTCCTCTGCGATGCTGTCGCTCACACACACTCCTCTGCGATGCTGTCGCTCACACACACTCCTCTGCGATGCTGTCGCTCACACACACTCCTCTGCGATGCTGTCGCTCACACACACTCCTCTGCGATGCTGTCGCTCACACACACACCTCTGCGATGCTGTCGCTCACACACACTCCTCCGCGATGCTGTCGCTCACACACACTCCTCTGTGATGCTGTCGCTCACACACACTCCTCTGCGATGCTGTCGCTCACACACACTCCTCTGCGATGCTGTCGCTCACACACACTCCTCTGCGATGCTGTCGCTCACACACACACCTCTGCGATGCTGTCGCTCACACACACACCTCTGCGATGCTGTCGCTCACACACACTCCTCTGCGATGCTGTCGCTCACACACACTCCTCTGCGATGCTGTCGCTCACACACACTCCTCTGCGATGCTGTCGCTCACACACACACCTCTGCGATGCTGTCGCTCACACACACTCCTCTGCGATGCTGTCGCTCACACACACTCCTCTGCGATGCTGTCGCTCACACACACTCCTCTGCGATGCTGTCGCTCACACACACTCCTCTGCGATGCTGTCGCTCACACACACTCCTCTGCGATGCTGTCGCTCACACACACACCTCTGCGATGCTGTCGCTCACACACACACCTCTGCGATGCTGTCGCTCACACACACTCCTCTGCGATGCTGTCGCTCACACACACTCCTCTGCGATGCTGTCGCTCACACACACTCCTCTGCGATGCTGTCGCTCACACACACTCCTCTGCGATGCTGTCGCTCACACACACACCTCTGCGATGCTGTCGCTCACACACACTCCTCTGCGATGCTGTCGCTCACACACACTCCTCTGCGATGCTGTCGCTCACACACACTCCTCTGCGATGCTGTCGCTCACACACACTCCTCTGCGATGCTGTCGCTCACACACACTCCTCTGCGATGCTGTCGCTCACACACACTCCTCTGCGATGCTGTCGCTCACACACACTCCTCTGCCATGCTGTCGCTCACACACACTCCTCTGCGATGCTGTCGCTCACACACACAACTCTGCGATGCTGTCGCTCACACACACTCCTCTGCGATGCTGTCGCTCACACACACTCCTCTGCGATGCTGTCGCTCACACACACTCCTCTGCGATGCTGTCGCTCACACACACTCCTCTGCGATGCTGTCGCTCACACACACTCCTCTGCGATGCTGTCGCTCACACACACTCCTCTGCGATGCTGTCGCTCACACACACTCCTCTGCGATGCTGTCGCTCACACACACACCTCTGCGATGCTGTCGCTCACACACACTCCTCTGCGATGCTGTCGCTCACACACACACCTCTGCGATGCTGTCGCTCACACACACACACCTCTGCGATGCTGTTTGCGAATGTTCGTTGTAACGATGGTTTCGGGACACACAGACTCGTTGAACTGCTGATAACGACTGAACTTGCGACCATAGTTGGCTAACGATGCTTTCGGGAAACACACCCCTGCTTGTGATTGTCTGAGTTTGTTGTTGCTGTGCATATTACTGAAGATGATGATGATGATGATGATGATGATGAGAGCTGAAATGCTGTTATTCTGCTGTAATGCGAGTGTGTTTCTCTGTCTCTCGTCTGCAGGCCAGAATCCGGTGTTTCCCCCGGTGGCTCTGTGGGTGACGGTGGGTCTGGCCGTGTGTTTGCTGGGTTTGCTCATCGCTCTGGCTGTCGTCTGCCGAAGGAAGATCCAGGAGAGCTGTGAGGAGATGAGAGCTGGTGAGGACTCAACACAGAAACAACACCTGGCCTTCAATCACTTCTAAAGCCTTTCTCCTGAAGATATTAGATGATGATAGTCTAATAATCTCCTCTTAACCCGTTCATCCGGATGTGTGCAGTTTCAGTGTCAGACTCAGATGGTATGGCCACGACTGGCCTGTTATTGTCTGTTATTTCATATTGAACACACATATACCGACTCTGGTGGGACGATAGATAGATAGATAGATAGATAGATAGATAGATAGATAGATAGATAGATAGATAGATAGATAGATAGATAGATAGATAGATAGATAGATAGATAGATAGATAGATAGATAGATAGATAGACAGACAGATAGATAGATAGATAGATAGATAGATAGATAGATAGATAGATAGATAGATAGATAGATAGATAGATAGATAGATAGATAGATAGATAGATAGATAGATAGATATTTTAGGCGGTATGTCCCTCACAAAGGAATAATCATATTTTGCAGGGTCAGTCTGTGGGATAATGTTGAGATAATAACTGTATATATTCACCAGTCTGAAATGAATATTGTTTTTATTATATTTCTGCATGGCTCGGTGACAGTGGCTGATAATCCAAAGGACGACCCACAGCAGCTCCAAATGCTAAACACACGCACACGCACACACACGCGCACACACACACACACGCACACGCACACACACACACACACACGCGCACGCACGCACACACACATTCACACACACACTTTATTGCCGAAGCCCATCTTTCCTCCTCTGCTGCTGGAAGTTCATTAGCGCCGCTAGATAATTAGTCGCGCGTGTAACTGGGGACTGCAGAAGTTGGAGGTTGAAATGACAGGAGGAAAGAGTGATGAGTGGATGGAGAAGAACTAGCAGAGAGATAGAGAGAGATAGTGAAGGATCCTGCAATCATGTGAAGGAAAACACGAGCTGGATAGAAGGAAAGAACATTGCTTTCCACCATCACACCATCTGTAATGAGTTCTATGTGCAGAGCAGGAGACATTTAAATAAAGGTCATTCCTGCGCGGCTCAGACCCCCGGGCTTTTAAAAATACATCTGCAACTGGCTTATTTCACGGAGGAAAGAAAGAGTAAATATCCAGCTGTATGACCGAATACCAAACAGGGAAATGGAATAGAATGAACACACTGACGCCGGCCAGCGATAGTCCAGACCCGATGAGCTCTTCTTTCTCCAGTAACCCGTGCAGGAATCCTGGAATAAGATTCAGTGAACGGGTCAGCAACCTGGTGAAGTAATTGAGTTTTTGAGTGAGTCTCAACATATGTGGAATACTCTTTTACTCCATTCCTGCTCTTCTCGTCTTCCCGTCAGGCAGGAGGCGTTTTTACCTCAAAGTCCACATTTGGGACTGTAATTACACTTTTTAATTGATGGTTCTTACTTGAGAACTTGGTCCCGTTGCAACATGTCATCAGCTTTTAGTCATCAGTCTTTTCAGTTTTGCTAAATGGTTTGCTGCTTGTAGCTTTGTTTATTAATACATTAATTGCATTTAATTAATAAACATGTAAATATTTATGTATAGATAAATAAAATAAAATAATGTATATAACAAATAATTATTATATTCATATTTATTAGTAAATTAGTTGTATTTAAATAATAAATACATGTAATATTTATCTATATGTGTATAGAATAAATAATTATATTTAATAGATGTATATATATATATATATTTATTATACAGTATCATGGTTATTATTGTTAACTATAACCATACAAAAAACATTATTTTAAATAAAATTAATGTTTAATTAAAATAAAATCTAGAAAAAATATTAGACTTATTTTATTTCAGATAGTTGCCAAGGCATCATTTGTAATTTCCAATTTAGTTTGAATTAAAAGTACTAAAAAAACTTGATAAACTAAAACTATGGAGGACAAAATCACATAACAAAATTATTAAGTTTAAATAACATTAAAATGAAAACAGAAAATATAAAAATAAAATCCAAATAAGTAAATCACATCTAATACATTTGTTTGAAATATTAAAGTTCCCTGTAGGCAATAATTGTATCCCTTAAACTCATCTTTGATCACCAAAATTACATATTTAAGTGTTTTTTCCTTGGAAAAAAATTCTTCATGCCTTAAAATATCTTGAATGTAACTCGACACCCTTGCCTCATTTAGTATGCGCGGTTCTATGAATATGCAAAGGAGCCCCGCCTCCACTCACTCCCTCGGCTCAGAGATCCACTGGTTGACGATCACACGTTGATCTGATTGGTTACAAGGTCGTTTGTGACGTCAGAAACACCAGCGATTTCAAACCGTGTTTTTGAGACTGTCTTTGGTTCACTGCAGTTTTAAGCAGAAAATACTCAGCAATGCTGTCGACTTATGAACTTACACATGGTGTGTCTTAAAGCATATTAAAAACACCACATCATTCCATCAACCCATCAGTCCCAGTTTCAGACTCCAGGAGGTCAGTCCCAGTCTCAGACTCCAGCAGGTGAGTCCCAGTCTCATACTGCTGGAGGTCAGTCCCAGTCTCAGACTCCAGCAGGTCAGTCCCAGTCTCAGACTCAGACTCCAGGAGGTCAGTCCCAGTCTCAGACTCCAGGAGGTCAGTCCCGGTCTCAGACTCCAGGAGGTCAGTCCCAGTCTCAGACTCCTGGAGGTCAGTCCCAGTCTCAGACTCCTGGAGGTCAGTCCCAGTCTCAGACTCCAGGAGGTCAGTCCCAGTCTCAGACTCCAGGTGGTCAGTCCCAGTATCAGACTCCTGGAGGTCAGTCCCAGTCTCAGACTCCTGGAGGTCAGTCCCAGTCTCAGACTCCAGCAGGTCAGTTTCAGACTCCAGGAGGTCAGTCCCAGTCTCAGACTCCAGCAGGTCAGTCCCAGTCTCAGACTCCAGCAGGTCAGTCCCAGTCTCAGACTCCAGGAGGTCAGTCCCAGTCTCAGACTCCAGCAGGTCAGTCCCAGTCTCAGACTCCAGCAGGTCAGTCCCAGTCTCGGATTCCCGCAGGGCAGTCTCAGTCTCAGACTCCAGCAGGTCAGTCCCAGTCTCAGACTCCAGCAGGTCAGTCCCAGTCTCAGACTCCAGCAGGTCAGTCCCAGTCTCAGACTCCAGCAGGTCAGTCCCAGTCTCAGACTCCAGCAGGTCAGTCCCAGTCTCAGACTCCAGCAGGTCAGTCCCAGTCTCAGACTCCAGGAGATCAGTCCCAGTCTCAGACTCCATGAGGTCAGTCCCAGTCTCAGACTCCATGAGGTCAGACTCCAGGAGATCAGTCCCAGTCTCAGACTCCAGCAGGTCAGTCTCAGACTCCATGAGGTCAGTCCCAGTCTCAGACTCCAGGAGATCAGTCCCAGTCTCAGACTCCAGCAGGTCAGTCCCAGTCTCAGACTCCATGAGGTCAGTCCCAGTCTCAGACTCCAGGAGATCAGTCCCAGTCTCAGACTCCAGCAGGTCAGTCCCAGTCTCAGACTCCATGAGGTCAGTCCCAGTCTCAGACTCCATGAGGTCAGTCCCAGTCTCAGACTCCATGAGGTCAGACTCCAGGAGATCAGTCCCAGTCTCAGACTCTAGCAGGTCAGTCCCAGTCTCAGACTCCAGCAGGTCAGTCCCAGTCTCAGACTCCAGCAGGTCAGACCCAGTCACAGACTCCAGGAGATCAGTCCCAGTCTCAGACTCCAGCAGGTCAGTCCCAGTCTCAGACTCCAGCAGGTCAGTCCCAGTCTCAGACTCCAGCAGGTCAGTCCCAGTCTCAGACTCCATGAGGTCAGACTCCAGGAGATCAGTCCCAGTCTCAGACTCCAGCAGGTCAGTCCCAGTCTCAGACTCCATGAGGTCAGTCCCAGTCTCAGACTCCAGGAGATCAGTCCCAGTCTCAGACTCCAGCAGGTCAGTCCCAGTCTCAGACTCCATGAGGTCAGTCCCACTCTCAGACTCCATGAGGTCAGTCCCAGTCTCAGACTCCAGGAGATAAGTCCCAGTCTCAGACTCCATGAGGTCAGTCCCAGTCTCAGACTCCATGAGGTCAGTCCCAGTCTCAGACTCCATGAGGTCAGTCCCAGTCTCACACTCCATGAGGTCAGTACCAGTCTCAGACTCCTGGAGGTCAGTCCCAGTCTCAGACTCCATGCAGGTCAGTCCCAGTCTCAGACTCCAGCAGGTCAGTCCCAGTCTCTGACTCCAGCAGGTCAGTCCCAGTCTCAGACTCCATGAGGTCAGTACCAGTCTCAGACTCCAGCAGGTCAGTCCCAGTCTCAGACTCCATGAGGTCAGTCCCAGTCTCAGACTCCAGCAGGTCAGTCCCAGTCTCAGACTCCAGCAGGTCAGTCCCAGTCTCAGACTCCATGAGGTCAGACTCCAGGAGATCAGTCCCAGTCTCAGACTCCAGCAGGTCAGTCCCAGTCTCAGACTCCATGAGGTCAGACTCCAGGAGATCAGTCTCAGACTCCAGCAGGTCAGTCCCAGTCTCAGACTCCATGAGTTCAGTCCCAGTCTCAAACTCCAGGAGATCAGTCCCAGTCTCAGACTCCAGCAGGTCAGTCCCAGTCCACAGTGACAGAGGCTCATTTCTCTTGGCTGTCATAATGTGTGTGTAGAGGTTGTGGGCGATCCTAACTGGATCGAGCAGCTGGTGAGATTGGGCTGTTAGCTGGGATATTGGGCTGGAGAGCCTCCGCGCAGGGAAATCAACAATGTACGTTTGCTCTTTTATTTCATTTCTTGGTGTCTGCTTCACTCTTGGCTCAAACTTCACTCAATTTAATTATCTCCTTTTGTCTTTTGACCGAATCTTTCCATGTATTTATCCGACGAAATTCTAGTTGACACTGAATATTTTCAAGTAATCAGTGTGACTGATCTGAAATCAAAAGTCTCAGTTTGGGCTTGATAACCGCATTTACTAGCAGGTGTGGATCTCTCTGAATTGTTCTGCTCTTTCAACAGTTTCTGGAGCAGCTCAAAAATGCTCCATTTAGTTTTGTCTAGCCGTCCATGATCACAGTTGATGATCCCAGCTAACAAAAATGTTCTTAAAACATTTAGCAAATGTTCACATTCAATTATGAAAATGTTGTTTCTGAATGTTCTCTGAATATTCAAAACGTAAAAAATTTTCAATGTATTAAAAATGTTTTTTCTTGGTTATGTGAACATTAAGATGATATATTCCATTGTATCATTCTACAAACATTATGGAAATGTTACTTTTGAATGTTCTCTGAAAGTTCTGTAACAAGTAGCAACATTTAAAAAATGTAAGAAAATTTATATATTCCATCAGCAAGTTTACGTTAACAAGTTTTAACGTTTTAGAACATTATTGATAACATTATTGTTAATTATTTTGCACATAACAAAATAATTAACGAAATAAAAAAACTGAGATTGTGTAAATAAAATGCATACATAATATATTGTCATTTTTGTCTTTTTATGTCTACATGATCTGTTTGTCAACACTGAAGTAGCTTTGCACTGGTTGTTTGTGTGACGAGAAAGAAGTGGGGACGCCATGCTAAAACATGTGATAAACCAGCCTAAGACTGTTAGCTGGTCTGCCATCCGGCTCAAGCTGGTTTGCTGGATTTAGGGGTCAGACTGGGAGACCAGCTGACCCAGTTTGAGCTGAGATCAGCATAAACTGTTGTTTTCATCTTTGACTTCTGGACTGTGAAGAAAGGCATCGCAGCTACTTTACATTGGAGTGTGTGTGAATTCACATCTATCTGTATTTTAGAGTAGACTATATCTCATAAAGCTGGATCTTTAAACATGGATTTCCCTCTGGAAGGTTGTATGTTTCATATTTTCAGATGTTCCTGAACTGTGTTTTTCCTCAGTGTGTGTGAAGGCATGACTGTGCATAATGTGACAGCTGAAACTGCATATGTATTTGGAGACCATAAACTCATTCCTTCTGATCTGTTTCTTTACAGAAGAAGAAGCCAAAGAACTTGAGGAAGCCAAAGAATTAGAAGAAGCCAAGTCAGGTTAGTTGCCTTATATATTTTATGTATAAATGTACAGAATGATAGTTGTGTGTTCACATGTAAAGACTGGTGTGACATCACTATGAACGAAATCAGGCTGTAAAGTAGTTCGTTTGGAGTTCCAGGAAAGTTCGTTCCCATTGGTCCGAGGAGATGATGTAAGACGTGGGTGTGGCTCTAAGGCTCCGCCTACTTTATATATATATAGTTATATATATATAAAGATATAAAGTTGAACTCTTCTCTGGTTTGATTTTCTGTTCAGTCCGTCGAGGTCAGATGTGAGTAAAAGCATGAACACACTGCAGAGCTGCTTTATTATGGGTGCTGGTTTCCGCCACAGAATAAAAAATAAAAAAGGTAATTCTGACTTTTTATCTCACAATTCTGACTTTTTATCTCAGAATTGCGTGATATAAAGTCGCAATTGCGAGTTATAAAGTCAGAACTGCGTGATATAAAGTCGCAATTGCGAGTTATAACGTCAGAATTGCAATATAAAGTCGCAATTGCGAGTTATAAAGTTAGAATTGCGTGATATAAAGTCGCAATTGCGAGTTATAACGTCAGAATTGCGTGATATAAAGTCGCAATTGCGAGTTATAAAGTCAGAATTGCGTGATATAAAGTCGCAATTGCGAGTTATAACGTCAGAATTGCAATATAAAGTCGCAATTGCAAGTTCTAAAGTTAGAATTGCGTGATATAAAGTCGCAATTGCGAGTTATAAAGTCAGAATTGCGTGATATAAAGTCGCAATTGTGAGTTATAACGTCAGAATTGCAATATAAAGTCGCAATTGCGAATTATAAAGTCAGAACTGCGTGATATAAAGTCGCAATTGCGAGTTATAACGTCAGAATTGCAATATAAAGTCGCAATTGCGAGTTATAAAGTTAGAATTGCGTGATATAAAGTCGCAATTGCGAGTTATAAAGTCAGAATTGCGTGATATAAAGTCGCAATTGCGAGTTATAACGTCAGAATTGCAATATAAAGTCGCAATTGTGAGTTATAAAGTTAGAATTGCGTGATATAAAGTCGCAATTGCGAGTTATAAAGTCAGAATTGCGAGTAATAAAGTCGCAATTGTGAGAGGAAAAATTTCCCTTAGAATTGGACTTTATTACTCGCAATTGCGACTTTATATCTCACAATTCTGAGAAAAGATGTCAGAATTACAGCTTGGGTTTCTACTATAAAGCTATGGAAGCTTTCTGCCACAGAATAAAACATTTTAAAAGATGAAAAAACTGAAGCTGTAATTCTAATTGAAAGAGACATGTTTAATACGGTAAAGCTGCTGCTTTAAAGCAATCTATTGTATAATAAGTGCTGTATAAATAGACGTGACATGACTGATGCACACATCCACATCACTGTGATTACATGCTTTCTGAACGGCTGTTTTCTGTTATTTTGTTTATTTTGTTATTAAGAGGAAAGCGCAGCACATGTTCATCTAAATGTGGACGGCATCGAGATGTTCGCTAGAAACAGTATCTCGCTGTAAAGGTGTTTCAAACCTCTTTTTACCTCTAATCGAATAACGAAAAACAACTTAACTGCGATCATATCAGGACCTCAAAAGTCTTCACTGTGAAAAGTAGAAGTGTAGTATCAAAAATGCAATACATTGATTAAACTCGCATAAAAAAGGGACAGTTTCTACCATTTTAAACACATTTCCTTTGTGGATATCTCTTCTATTAATGCTAGCTATTCTGGGCTCTGGCTCCACAGTAAAAAAAAGAGTCATGGTTCAATCTCTTAATGACCCTAAATGGCATTGTAGTAATTATGATATTTAATGCAAGTGTGAAACGAATGTGAAAAGTGCAATAATAGGACTCTAGAACTAAATAGATTTGATCTCGTTCAGCTTAAATCCATCTTTAGTCCTTATGATTCTTTTTTTCATGATCTGTAGCTCTCTGAAAATGAATCTCGGTGAGAATTCATGAGCGTTTGTGGCTAAATCGGCACGGCTGTCAAGTAGAACGAGCCCCGTCTCTCGCCCCAGGTGAAGGCCAGAGTAAACGCTGGCAGAGTCCAGGTTCTGCTCCCCCTGTGGCTTTAATGTCATTAAAGATTCATTTGACTCCTTTAGTCTGATTGAATTATTCAGCCTGGCCATGAGCAGTAGAGTTAATACTATGAGATTTTAATAAGCAGGCAGGTGAAGAGGGTCAGAGAGAGAGAGAGAGTGAGCGAGCGATGTGTCCGCGGTAATGGGGGTCTCATGAATATTTCACATGTGATGAGTGTCAGATGTGTGTGTGTGTGTGTGTGTGTGTGGATGACGTGACGTGTGATGCTGACGGTGGGAATCCTTCAACGCTGTAAACTGACTGGCTTTGTGTCAGCAGCTTTTAATTTGAGTCATGTGGCTGGATCGGTCCGTCAGTCCCGTCTGTAGATGTGAGTGAATGTTTTAAACAGTTTTTATCTCAAGCTCTGATGATGGAGACAGCGAGAGAAACAGTCGAGCACAACTACATTTTGTAAGTGTTACAAAGGATGCAATCTCGTTTTCCCCCCTATAAACTTAATACGACAGATGCCTGCATTTATTAATTAATATATTCACGTTGCAAAATATTTTCAGGAAGTTGTTGGCATGCCCACTTTTGACATTTAATAAGCCTCATTACCACATCCAACCTGGCATCACATTTGCCAAAAAGTGTTTGCCAGTAATAAGGAGAGGTATAGAGATCAGGGTAATTATAGTAAACTAAAACTGTAAAAAAAAAAAAAAAAAATGTGTTAATTAAAATAAACCTTAAATGAAATAAAATAAAATATTACCAAACATAATCTTATTTTATTTCCGATAGTTGCCAATGCAAGATTTATGTACTAAAATAACTAAAACTATCAACATATTTAAAAAAACACAAAAGATTACTAGAACTTTAACTAAAGTTAAAAGTTAAAATATAAAATCAAAAATCAAAATAATAACAACTATTACAGTATCTCAATGATACTAAAATAAGAATCAAATATATTCTATTTGTTTATATTTCTTCATAACTAATTCGCTGTATTGAATTTCATATGCTAAATGATTAATGAAAATCTGAGTAATTTTCATATTAGTAGCAAAAGTGGGGTTTTTTTATTCCACCTTCCCTGTAGGTAATGAACACCTAAATATTATTATTACATTACTCTCATATGTCATTTTCATAATTTCTGATATTAAGTAAAAATGACTGAATCCTGTCGGCAGCTCTCGTTCTGCTTTTGTCAGTGTAATGTTTCAGATATGAGTGAGAAATTTAGACAAGAGTGTAGCAAAGTTGAAATAATATGAACAATTACAGTCTTGAGAAAGAAAAAACCAGGAGTCGCGTGAAATTCCCCGTTGTGTCCACAGACTTTCCACTGAACCATTTTAACCGGTTGAAAGCTTGTTTTTCTTTTTCATAATTTTTTTAAGAAACGTAAAGAAACATTCCACAAATATGATGTTGACAGGTTATAAACAGTCTATAAACAAGGCCATTTAAACTACATCTGTGGAATATTTTAATTGTACAGAATACGTTATTATAAAACCTTAATAATCTGTTACAGATTGGTTTGGGTTTGTTGTTGCTTTAACATTATGAGGCTGTTTCAAACCTAAACCTAGGAGGTTTCACAACATTTCTAAAACTTTTTTTTGGTTATATATACTGTATATATATATATATATATATATATATGTTTTGTTGCAGGTGTGCTACTAGAACATTTTGTACTGCAGTGTTTCCGACCGGTAACCAAAATGCAACGTTGTGTAAAAGCGTTTTGTACTTGCTGGGTTGTTTCATTTTCATGTTCATTCTAGTATCTGCAGTCTCCTGCTGCTTTCAGACTTTTCCTCCCTCACCATCTGGTACTTTCTTTTTGCAAATTGATGATTGTCCTCATCCGGCAAGATCCATTGAGCTCACGTCTTTACAGTAGTTTCGCCCAGAGGAAAACCTCCGTAAGCCTCCAGCCACGCCCCCAACTCTCCGCCTTCTACAGTAGCCACGCCCCAACTCTCTGCGTTCTACAGTAGCCACGCCCCCAACTCTCTGCCACACCCCCAACTCTCCGCCTTCTACAGTAGCCACGCCCCAACTATCCATCTGCTACAGTAGCCACGCCCCCAACTCGCCGTCTGCTACAGTAGCCACGCCCCCAAACCCTGTCTGCTACAGTAGCCACGCCCCCAACTCTCCGCCTTCTACAGTAGCCACGACCCCAACTCTCTGCCTTCTACAGTAGCCACGCCCCCAACTCTCTGCCTTCTACAGTAGCCACGACCCCAACTCTCTGCCTTCTACAGTAGCCACGCCCCAACTCTCTGCGTTCTACAGTAGCCACGCCCCCAACTCTCTGCCACACCCCCAACTCTCCGCCTTCTACAGTAGCCACGCCCCAACTATCCATCTGCTACAGTAGCCACGCCCCCAACTCGCCGTCTGCTACAGTAGCCACGCCCCCAAACCCTGTCTGCTACAGTAGCCACGCCCCCAACTCTCCGCCTTCTACAGTAGCCACGACCCCAACTCTCTGCCTTCTACAGTAGCCACGCCCCCAACTCTCTGTCTGCTACAGTAGCCACGCCCCCAACTCTCTGCCTTCTACAGTAGCCACGCCCCCGGCTCTCTGCCTTCTACAGTAGCCACGCCCCAACTATGCCTACTACAGTAGCCACGCCCCAACTCTGTCTGCTACAGTAGCCACGCCCCAAACTCTCAGTCTGCTACAGTAGCCACGCCCCAAACGCTCCGCCTGCTACAGTAGCCACGCCTCAAACTCTCAGTCTGCCACAGTAGCCACGCCCCAAACGCTCCGCCTTCTACAGTAGCGACGCCCCAAACTCTCCACCTTCTACAGTAGCCACGCCCCCAAACTCTCCACCTTCTACAGTAGCCACGCCCCTAACGCTCAGTCTGCTACAGTAGCCACGCCCCAAACTCTCAGTCTGCTATAGTAGCCACGCCCCCAACTCTCAGTCTGCTACAGTAGCCACGCCCCAAACGCTCCGCCTGCTACAGTAGCCACGCCCCAAACTCTCCACCTTCTACAGTAGCCACGCCCCCAAACTCTCCACCTTCTACAGTAGCCACGCCCCCAAACTCTCAGTCTGCTATAGTAGCCACGCCCCCAACTCTCAGTCTGCTACAGTAGCCACGCCCCCAACTCTCTGTCTGGTACAGTAGCCACGTCCCAAACTCTCCACCTTCTACAGTAGCCACACACCCCAAACGCTCAGCCTGCTACAGTAGCCACGCCCCAAACTCTCAGTCTGCTACAGTAGCCACGCCCCAAACTATCCGTCTGCTACAGTAGCCACCCCCCCAACTCACCGTCTGCTACAGTAGCCACGCCCCCAACCCCCTGTCTGCTACAGTAGCCACGCCCCCAACTCTCCGCCTTCTACAGTAGCCACGACCCCAACTCTCTGCCTTCTACAGTAGCCACGCCCCCAACTCTCTGTCTGCTACAGTAGCCACGCCCCCAACTCTCTGCCTTTATACAGTAGCCACGCCCCCAGCTCTCTGCCTTCTACAGTAGCCACGCCTCAACTCTCTGCCTTCTACAGTAGCCACGCCCCCAACTCTGTCTGCTACAGTAGCCACGCCCCAAACGCTCCGCCTGCTACAGTAGCCACGCCTCAAACTCTCAGTCTGCTACAGTAGCCACGCCCCAAACGCTCCACCTTCTACAGTAGCCACGCCCCAAACTCTCCACCTTCTACAGTAGCCACACCCCCCAAACGCTCAGCCTGCTACAGTAGCCACGCCCCAAACGCTCCGCCTGCTACAGTAGCCACGCCCCCAAATCTTAAATTCATACTATTGGTTGAGCTGGAAAGAGACTGACGGATCTGAGCGGATACTCTCAATGTTCTGATGGTGCCTGAAGGGCTCAATATTTACACATGCGGGGGAGATAAACTAATAATAGTCGATTAACAATAACCTGAGTAAAAAGAGTGCATTCTATCAACAAAAAAAAAGTCTTACATGCGTCACCTTTAAATACACAGGCGGGATGAGGGAACTAAACAAGACACAGGTGAAAACAATCAGTAACCCTAGAGACAAACAAGGGCATAATTCAAAATTAAAGCAACAAACCAATCAGAAGCAGGAACTAAAGAGAGGAGAACCGAAGAACACAGACACTATACTGACAATATCAATCATACTAAAACAACCGTTCCAAGCGTTTAGACTTACGACTTTTGGCGAAAAGGCAATAAACCCGAGCCGCAGCTAGGGATCAGAATGACAGACCGAAGGCAAGACAGAAGGGAGTATCTGTAACACACCCCCACATTCTCTCCCACTGTCATTCCTACTTTCCATTGACGTCATCAATATAGACTTTTTCATGCCATTCATGCAGAGTCTGTCTGGCACGCATTGCAACCCTTGGCAACTGAACTGACCACCCCAGGGATCTCCATTCATCCGACTCCTTCAGAGCGGCCGTGTTTGCCCGTGTGTGTTTGCATGTATTGTGTTGTGTTGCTTGCTCACAGTTAAATGTCACATACTGTGGCACCTCTAAAAAACAGCAACAGAAAGCCCGGTCTAGTGTTTGAGTGCTGGGCAGGCTGTAATGATGTTGGGTGTGTAGACTGCAGTTTGCTCTCCGGGGAGTACGAGTCTGAGATGGTTGTTACTTGCCCACACGAACTCAATACTGCTTTTTTTTACTAGCCTTGAGTTGTTTACCTCGTCTTTTCCCCCCACATCCTTAAAGAAAACTCTTTTCTTCTCTCTGTTTCAGCTGCAACACCTCTGAAGAGCTAAAGCTGGAGACCACAGGTACGTCTCTGTGTGATTTAGCCCCAACCAACATATTTGACTGTTTTCAGTGGTATGTTTATGATTTTTAGTAATTATTTCTGTACATTCTCTGAAATTCTCACTGAAATATTATTCTATAAGTATTATTATATTTATTATCATCTGTATTGTGTGTTATTATTAATATTAATATATATATATATATATTTTAATAATTAATTAATTAATTAATTATTATTATTATTTCAGGGTTAAGCAAAAGTCCGAATTTTGTTATAATCAAAACAGAGCCGATAATTAGAACATTCTGAGAAATCATAATATTTATTGCATTATGGTCTGTTTATTTTATTAAATATAACTTTATAAATGTAATATTTTAATTTAATTTATTGTATATAAATGTGCAAATATTTAATGAATTCAATGCATTTAAAAATGAAAAATATTTATACATATAGGTTTGATATTTCAAAGACTCTAGAAAGCCCACATATGTTGTGTCTACAGTTATTGGTCATCAGACTGCAAAATAAATTTCTAGAAATTATTCTAATATTAATTTTTTAATATATTATAACATAAATGAACAAACATGCAATTAATCAAATAAATTTAAAATGTAATATATATATATATATTACTGCTGTCACACGATTAAAATATTTAATCACGATTAATCGCATTAATGTCACAGTTAACTCGCGATTAATCGCACATTTTTATCTATTCTAAATGTCTCTTGATTTCTTTTTGTCCCATTATTTTTTCTCATTTTAATGCTCTTATCAACATGGAAAAGTGGATCAGCTTGCTTTGTGCAAATGTTTTTTACTGAAAACATCATTGGCATATACTGTGTTCAATTTCACACTAACATTCTCACTTGGAGCAAATAATCTCTCACACAATGTAACACTGTCCATCAATAAAAGGGTGAAAGAAATACTGACGAGGTCCTGATATTGACGAGGGGGCGGAGACTTCGCATCAGCTGTGTGTGTGTGTGTGTGTGTGTGTGTGTGTGTGTGCTTGGCCATCATCAAGCAGTGTTTCAGACTGGATGTGCTGCGATGATGATAGCTCAGGTCACAACGACAAAACACACAGATCACTTTGGTCTCGTCAATGGAACCATTTGGCAACTTTTTAAAAGTAAACTTTCCATTCACAATCTTATTGGCATCCATTTCGGCGTCTCGCGCTCGTCATCCACTCAAAACGTAACGTTAACCTACTATTTGGCCGGCTCGCAACAAGTGTGCTTCCGGTCTAGCTAGATCCGGTGTTTTCAGACAGGATGCGGAATGCGTGGCGCTACGCCAGTTTTCAAAACTTTTTGGATGCCAAAAAGTTTCTATTGGCCGCACTGGTAATCGTCACAGCGGCAAAAGTTGAACTATTTTGAATTTTGACCGCGGTGTGCGCGCCCCTGCTCTTGCGCTTTGGTCGAGGAAGCAACAAAACGTCCTCGCGCGGCGCAAGCCATTGAAATCAATGGGTTGCATAGCGCAGAGCCGCGCATGCCGCGTCCTGTATGGAAGCAAATAAGAGACATAACTATTTGAAATTTAACAGCCACTGAATACTTAGTTTTGAAATATTTTATTTTGAAAAACATTTATCTGAATTTATTTCCTCTGAATTCACCCCTTTGAAATTATTTTACTTTGGAAACCATGTATCTGAATTTATTTGTTTATTTGTTTTGTTTAAAAACCTGAATATCGATTTTAATATTTTTCAATGCTCACAAATTCAGATACAAAAAAAAATAATCAACTTACAGAATTTCAGATAAAATAGATTCAGGTTGATCAAATTCGACTGCTCAAATTCAGATCTCAAATTCGACTGCTCAAATTCAGATCGAAAAATTCAAGTTAAATATTCACATGGTAACATCTGGGCTACCCATGATAGGCCACGCACACACCGGGGGGAAAGCAATCCAACCGTCTCTATTGATTTGCATTGCGAGAGGCTGCCTCCTTGTCATTTATGACACAAAAAACAAAACAATGTCTAAAAGCTGTTGTGAGACAAGGTGTACAGCAAACAAGCAAAATAACCCAGAAATTATTTTTTATACGCTGTCGACCCCAAAAACGGTTTGTTTTTCAGGACATAAAAGTGGATCAATTGAGAAAGAGCGCAACTATTTCTCGAACTACTCTGAGAGAACTACGCCCAGCCTCCCCATATAGCACTGGAACGCGACATGATATTGTTAAAAAAAAAAAATTCATAATTTTAACCATGTCGATTGCTTATTTCACCACCCTATGTGAACCTGAGAAGAGGAGATATATTAAATGTACCCATTCTTCCTGCTGATGCTTCACGTCTTATTGCCTGAAGCCTATCTACTTTTGTCTCCTTAAAGGCTGGCTTTACCGGTTCGGAAGCTTATAAAACTGTATTTCTGTTGTGTTTTTTTTTAGCTTATTTGCTGAACACCTTGTCACACAGCAGCTTTTATGCATTTTTCTGTCTTTTGTTATATGTTATTATAAGGAGGCAGCCTCTCGCAATGCAAAGTCAATGGAGACGGTTGGATTGTTTCGCCCCGCTTTGGGCGTGGCTTAAATACGCTCTGTCTCTACACAGGCTCAGCTGTTTTTCCTATCATGGGTAGCCCGGATGTTACCATGTGAATATTTAACTTGAATTTTTCGATCTGAATTTGAGCAGTCGAATTTGAGATCTGAATTTGAGCAGTTGAATTTGATCAACCTGAATCTATTTTATCTGAAATTCTGTAAGTTGATTTTTTTTGTATCTGAATTTGTGAGCATTGAAAAATATTAAAATCGAAATTCAAGTTTTTAAACAAAACAAATAAACAAATAAATTCAGATACATGGTTTCCAAAGTAAAATAATTTCAATGGGGTGAATTCAGAGCAAATAAATTCAGATTAAGGTTTTTCAAAATAAAATATTTCAAAACTAAGTATTCAGTGGCTGTTAAATTTCAAATAGTTATGTCTCGTATTTGCTTCCATAGTCCTGTTGCAAAAGCATGTGAAAAAAACTACAAAGTTTGCTACGCCAAAAAGCGCGTTAATCTCGCGGAAAAAAAAATTAATCGCGTTAAAATGGGTTTGCGTTAACACCGTTAATAACGCGTTTAACTGACAGCCCTAATATATATATTTACATATATGTGTATACTACAAATTTCTATAGGTTTGAATTTCTATTTAACCCTAACCCAAATGTCTTACGTTTCTGGAAATGCCACGATCATGCTAAAAAATGAAAGTAATTCCTACAAATTCTTCCATTATTACTCCATCTTAATTCAGCTTAAATTCACAGTTCTGCTGCTTTAATTGAAATTCAGGAATTGGATACTGTAGCATTTTTATTTCGGTTCTGAAAGTCTGTGACAAGTGTTTTCCAGCAGCGTGTTCTGTGGCGATCTTTCCATTTGAATAAAGCGTCTTTATTCCGTGAAGGACGTTCCGAAGTTCCCGAAGTCTTGACATTGTGCTTCGGATAATATCCACCAGGTCAACCGTTCCGTGACGGATTCATCTGAGTGTCGAGTCATTAAAGTGTCCTGGTGTCCTCACGCTAAGCCTGATCACCAGCACTTCCCGTCATTAAACAGGTGCAAGCGTTTAGGGCCAAGGTTGCAGGAAAAATCCATTTGAAAGAGAGTGGGGAAAAAAGCTGGCTGTTGCTAAGACAAGGAAATTAAACGTCATATTCTGCTTTCCCAGACACGGAGGAGGCAGACTGACATCGACGAGTCACACTATTTTTAACTGCCGCTCTCACGACTTAATTACAAAGTAAAGAATAAGCTAATCTTTCTGTCGTGTGAGAAATTGGCATCGCGTTTTTAGTCGGAGAACATGCCAGGACGATGTCTAGGGGACATGGTTTAGATCAAAGCAAATGAAGTAGACGTGTCCATCATGTGTAAAGGACAGGCTTGCTGAGATTAGGAACGTTGCGTTGAGTTTGGAGGTGATGTTCTGAGTCCTGCTCGGTTTAGTTTAGTTTTGCGAGCGCGTTCTCTGACCCACTGCCCCCTGTGATGTCCAGTGTGCCCAAGGCTGCCCGACTCTTTGTTTCCAGATCTGTGTTTGTTTGCACTGGGCTATTTTTGGAAATTGCATCATGAACCGTTGCAAAAGGCCTGAGGGGTCGCCGTGTTTCATAACATCATCCTTCTCTGCTGTTTTTCTGAGAACTGTGGATGTGCTTCATAATGACTGGACATTCTTGACCTGCAAGAGCGTATAGGAAGGACATCGCATACATCTGTATTCAGGGGATAGATGTAATTAAATTTTCACTCTCTCTCTCTATATATATGTATATTACTAATAGTGACAGTAAAGACATTTCTAATAAGATTTATATTTCAAATAAATGTCGTTCTTTTGAACTTTCTATTCATCAATGCATCATGAAAAAAATTTGATTCATAGGTTGATTTGTATTACATTAATAATAGATCATAGTCAAACATGTTTAACGCCATCACATGTACTGTATTTAACTGCATTTGACCTGGACACTTTACAGTAAGGTGGAGTGCGGTTTAGTGTGACTGCTGTGGTTAGGGCATCTTCTGGAAGATATAGTTATTGTTATAGGTGGCATAATAGCAATATACCACTGTAATATTGTGCTCAAATTAGTTTTGTTCTGATTGCAATTCTGGCAACAGCCCTTTGAATGAGCTGCAGTCTTTTAAGGAAAGCTGGCGATGAGTAGCATTTGCTGTACAGTCTGTCCTGCTGGTAATGAATTTGTGATTTCTTAATTTTTTTTTTTGTCTTTAAAAAAGTTTTAGATGATGATAATAAGCTGATTTAGTTATTGATTTGAAATGACTACTGAAACCAATGTTTCTTTAAACAGGAGAGGTCCCAGGATCGAGCCCTGAGGGTCTCCACATGCCATGCAGGTCCAATTAGATTAATAGTTTTTGTAGATTTATAGTCCTATCCAGCTTTCTAGTTTGTCTAAGTGCAAATTGTGTTCGACACTGTCAAA